ATCTCTTCTCATTTAGTGAGTGAAGAACAAAATGGTGCTCTCTCATGCCAAGGTACCTTTTCCTTTAAAGAACAGATAACACCTGTTATCCCAGCCATTTCATGCTCCATAAGAAAGCCAGAGGCTCAGGTTCTGATGGCCATTGGCTGGGATGGGGACAGAGGGATGGGGGCTCCTGCTCCCCTTTGCCTCCCCAGCAGCCTGGGCACAATCAGGAATCAGGAATCAGGGAGGGACTCACCTCTCCCCCAGCCTTCCCCTACAAGGGAATGGATCTCAGGGGATGGACTCTCCCAAACCAAAGGCACCTGGGGACAAACCCCAGTGATGAGACCCCAGCCCTAGAGGAACTGGTGAAATCCTCCATCTGTGGCAGAACCCCCCAGTCTCCATCCTCAGTGCCAGACTTAACTGTGGCATTAAATCAGCTCCCATGAATTATTCAGAAGGCTTTGGAGTGAAATTCATGTTAGAGAAATCTATGTTTTAAATTTCCTGGCTCTAAGAGGAGTCCTGGAGGTGTCCCCTGCAGTTACTTTGATAACAGTTTCTCTTTACAAATGATAATTGCACGATTCAAGCTTTTGTACAGTGTGGCCTTGTGAACTCTTCTCTCCTATCAAAGAACAATTTTAAGACCATTTCCATAGCAAAAAGAAAGTGATTGTGGAGATAATCTGTTGAAAACACACATGCTGGATTTCAGTTGAAAACAATAAAATGCAGTCATGAAATGAGAAATCAAGTGTTACCTAGATGACGATATATAGAGAATAAATGGCCTGTGCATTTTAGTTTGCTGAGCTGCTAGGAATTGAAAATTGGTCCCAAGATTAGTCTGATTATCAGGACACCTCTAGCAACAAGCACCAAAAGGGAAAGGGAATACTTTTCTACCCTCTGAAGAAACAGAAGAAGATGGAAGAAATGTCATTAACCACGGGGACCCTTTGAAGTTCTTACAAAAAACTTCCATAAATGAATATCACTTACACATGTTTAGATGATCTGCCTGGGTGTGCTGCAATTCTTGAGCTGCATTCATCACAGAATGTCTCAGAGCCTTATAGAATTTAATATATTTAATATAAGGATACTAGTAATAGAAAAGTTCCCGATATTTTATTGGCATGATCAATGTATACTTAAGTAGCAAGTTGAACTTCTAATGAGATTGATGGCACAATCACACATTCTCCCTTTCGTTTCCTGACTAGTTTGTATTCCCAGCTGTGGAAAATGGAGGTTTGCCAGCACTCTCACTTTTAGAGAGGCCACGGGGATGTTGGATCATGGGGGAAGAAGGTGAGGGAGAGTTACTGCCAGCACCTGGAATTTTTGATGTGAGAAACTCACATTCAGCCAAACCTCTACTGCTCTGTAGTGTTCCTGTACATGCCCTGTCCATTTCTAAGAGGTTTTCAGTCACAAAGAGAAGTCAGAAGCAAGCAGGCCTTGTTTTGAGCAGGAACACTCCATTGTAGCCAAAGGCATGACTGTGAAATGTGTGGGAATCCTATATTCAACACACAGGGTGGGGTGTGAAAGGTGCTGTGCCTTTCCTGGAGGAGTAATACCCATTTGCACAATCTGAAGAGTTGGATTTTTGTCTCTATCCATGCACATCCTGGAAAGCCATTTCAGTGTACGGAATGTTGCAAAGGATTCCAGCGTCCTCCAGCATCATCTGAGAGCGATGAAAGATTGCAGTGAGGGGTAACAAAAATTCTATTCTATCTTCCTTGAGAGCAGACTGCCTTGAGGGTGGTGCTATGTACAGTGAATTGGGTTGGGGACTAGTAAGGAAACTCAAATAGAACCAGGAAAAATGCCCTTTTCCACAGTGGGTTGTTCAGCATCTAAGAACTGTCACCCAGAATCTGAGGGAAAAGTCTTTTGATTTCGTACGAGTTCTCATGTTCCTTCCTAACTGGTGTGTCTTTAGTGCTAGGAAAGCTGTGGAAATTGTACACAATAAGACCATAAACCTATTATTGTGGCTGTTCCTCCCTAGAACAGTTGGCAAATGAAAAAACCTAAAAATTAGCTGATTGAAAAATTATTTCTGCTAGAACATGACAACAAAAATTACAAGTGCTTTCTTAAAAGGCTAGTTTTGTTGCAATTCTTCCAGAAATTATGGAGTCCTTCTAGAAAGCTGCCTGTGTCCCTCTGAGCTCTGGGAAACTCAATTGATGTTTGGAGATGTAGAATTCCTTAATTTTCCCTGGCAATAATTGCAACACTACGTGTAGAAAGGTGATGCCATCTCAGAAGTGCATGAATGGGAAGCAGTGATGTTTGTTCCCTGGCTCTGGAGCACAGCAGATGAAGTGAAACCCATCTATGTGAGTGGGATTTGGGATCTGGTTTGGTTTTTTTCTTTATTTTCTTCAGTTGTGATGTAATGGAGGAAGGTAAGAAGAACAAAACACATAGTCAATGGCTCAGCACATATTTTTTTATGATGCAGTTTCAAACCACTAGAAAACTCTTTAGTTTCGCAAGTGCACTTTAAACCATAACATAATATCTACATCAGAATTTCATTTTTCTCAATTCACTGCTTTGTGAATTTATTTCTAATGTCACCCCTTCTTCACGATTGAAGTTTCCACCTCAGCAACTGGAAGAGTGTCAACTACAACAGGACTGCTGTGTTTCTAGCATGAATATTGAGGGGAAAGGGGATTTATTGCAGCCTTTTAAGCCCAAAGATGAAATGCAAAATTGAATTAAAATATCTGTGGTAACTGCTCAATCAGTGCAGTATTTTTGCTGCATTTAAACAGCAAAGAATCATCTGCAATTTACCAGCACAAATTGCAAAAAGAGAACTTCAAAGGGCAGTGGTATCTCTTTTTTTTTTGTTTTTCCTTCTCCCTGGCTAGAATGTATTATAGCAAACCTGCGTATGCTTTGTAGTATTTTTTCCTGTCACAACAATTTCATTTTTGTTTCCTTTTTAAAGGGAGGGAAAAAATCCCAACTCTTGCTATAATAATCTTCACTACGGTGAACTTTAAAGTGGCTTGCGGTAGGGAAGTGTGGCATTTTCTGTTTGCATCATCAGTTGCTAGTGATGGATCTCAGAAGTCAGCTTTCATTTTCTAAGCAAAATAGGCTGCAGTTGGAGAAACCTGATTAAGGTGAGTAGAGTTTTATCTGATATGCCTATTGCCACTCATTTACAAAAAGTATGTGTCAGTTTATAATGCATTCTTCTTTAGTTTAAGTGATCCTAATAGGCCATCAAACTACTAGAAAACAGCTTGGCATGTGGAATAAGCTCCTGATCAGGCTGCTGTAGTTTGTGTTGCCATCCCTACACAGAAGCTGCTTGCTGGCCTGATGTTACTGTGAAATCATCTTCCAACATCTTGCAAAAATTGCTGCTCTGATTGTAAATTAAATGCTAAAAAAAAAATTGAGTGGTCTTGACTTTGCTTCCTGACTTCTGAGTGTTTAAGTCCTAGTGGCTTCTCTGCTAAAGAAGACAATGAAACCTGGAGATATCTGAGATGCTGACACAAAAATTGCTCATTCTGGCATTGCTCTGTGTTACTTCCCAACAGAGAGAAATGTTCATTTTCCTCTTATTTCTGAGGGACAGGAGACAGTGAAGAGGAAGAATAGGTGACATTACATTTGAAGAGGTGTAGATACAAAACTGACAGCCTTGGAGAAAACACACTTCATCCAAATGGCTATTTGCAGAGCAGGCCCTCTGCAAGATAACTTATGGCATGAAAAAGTCCTGAGCACAGAAAACAGTCTGTCACAGTAAAATAAAGAGCCCTGAAGCTGTAAAGTCTGGCATAGCTGTGAAAATAACTTTCACTTGGGAGGGGAGGCTGGGAACCCTGCAGCTCCTGGTTCTTTTCAAAGACAATGCCTGTACCACAGCAAGGAACACAGAGGCAACCAGAACTCCTACAAATCTGCACCAAAACCCCAATTTAAAATCCTACCAAAGATTAAAGGCTGCACTCTCTTTCAAGTGCATTAATTATCACGGCAACATGCAGAGCTCTGTAAATGGCTCCTGTCTGTTAGCACAGCACTGAGTTTAAAGGTTAGGGGGGTGGCAGACAGATGATGGCGATGACGACAACAACCTGTGATTTGCAGAGTTTCTGCCATGGGGGAGAGGCGTCTTCTCATACTGGAAGCAAGGCTAGGAAAAATATTCTAATACTTCTCATATTGAAAGCAATGTTAGGAAAAATCTTCTAATACTTCTAATTCTGGAAGCAATGTTAGGAAAAACCAGCCTGCCTTCCATGCAGCAGGGGCTGGGAGGGAGGAGAGGGCAGCTGAGCTGTAGGGGAAGCAGGAGCACAGCGCTGAGCTCCCCTGCCTGTTGCAGCCTGAAATCAAATGGTAATACTGCCAGGAGGTGAAGACAAGGCAACACACTCCCAGACCAAAAATACCCTTTTTCCTGCCCCTGACAAAAAACCCCAACCCTGTTTCTGCTCTGCATAAGCACTAGCCACTGTGGCAGGCTTTATGCAGCTGTGACAGTGCTCTGCTTTAATTTGATTAATTTTATTGGGAAGAAGTTCCATCTCTCCCACCAGCCAGAAACCAGCCAAACCCTGTCAGGGCCCTCTCTCCCTGTTACTTTACTACAACTATAAAGTGATTTATAAATTACTTTACAAAATAGGGTCACCATACATTTGAAGAGCACCTGAGAGTGCAGGTGTGACAGGAAAACCCAGGGGTCTGGTGGATTGGCAATTATTCCAAGAGGTGGGAAGCTGATCAAGGGACTGCACAGGGTGCTTCTGCCTGGGAGACACAGTGGCCTCAAGGAAGAGGCCACCTTCCTGACAGAAAGCAAGCAGAAAATATTGTACTTGTTCTTGCAGGGCTTGGGTTTGAAAATGGGACACAGTGGTGGAGAAATTTCTGTGCCCCTCCCCACCCCAGGAGAGTCTGGCCAGGAAAGGGGTCCCTCAACAGGCCCTGGGCAGCAGAGACCACCACAACAATGCCAGGAAATTCTCAGTCAAGTTTAATGCATCATAAAGAAGTAAAACTACATTGGCATATTTAAGACAAACACTTTTTTTTTTTTTCTATGCACACTATCCACTGGACAGCCCCCTTTTCAAAATAACTACTTTTAACAGTTGAAGACAGTTTTTCAGAAATTCTTCACATATTCAACCTTCTACAATTTTCCTTTACTTTTTCATTTGTCTGAGAAGGAAAAAAAAAATTATGAAACCTGAAAACATCTACATTGCAAGCCACTCAGAATGCATAATTGCATACATTAACCAATGTATAACAACTGTGTTTTACTTAGTTCACTCTATTCATCAATAAAAGAATATAAAAATCTTGTTCAATCGAGAGTTGTGTATTAAAATAGATTTGTTTAGTACTGCACAGTTTCTCCCGGAGTTGTGAAAATGGTTGAAGGGACCTTGTGCTTTCTGGGCAACAGAAAAAGCCAGTCCCTCATGTGTTCATTTTTTAAAAATTAAAAACAAAAAAGGCTATTCGGCACCACGTGATATGCTGATGTGAGGGACCAGCCTTGTGTCCTGCTCTGGTGGCTTTCCATAATTACCTGTTTGTGCTAATTGATGGAGAACTCACAGGGACAGGGACAATGGCACAGGGGGTGGGAGCTGGGAAAAGCAGGGTGTCCATCAGCCCCTCCCCAGGCAGCACCTTGCAGAATCAGGAAGACCAGCTAGCAAACAGGCAGGTGCTCTGGGATTCTCTCAGGCTAATGCTTGACACTTCCCAAATATGCTAAAAGCTAACAAAATGTTAAAAAGGAATCAAGTTTCCAAAAACAAAATCCTCCCAAACCTTTTTAATTTTCCATGCCCTGTCCCTCCCCCAGAAGTCTTGTGTCTGAGTCTCCAGTTTAAGAAACAACCCCTTGAGGCAGTTTTTTTTTTTCCCTGTACCATTTCAGCAGATATTTCTACAAAAAACCCCAACCAACCAAAAAAAACCCAAAGCAACAAAATAAACCAACCCAAAAAACTCCAAACAAAACAACAAAAAAATCATGTTGCATATCTTTAAAAATGCAGTACAAAAAGGTTATTTTTTGGCATATTATCTGTACTGACAAGAAACAAAACCCAGAATATTTATTTGCTTTTTTGTTTAAAAAAAGAATCCAAAATGAACAAAAAGACAGAAAACCACAAAATAATCACTTTAAAAAAATTAAACCCAAACTGTCAAAGGTATCCACTGTTATGGTTGATGCTAAACCTTGCACAAAAACTCCATGAGAAAAATACACTGATAGCAAAATAAGTAAAAAGGACCTGCAAAAGGAGTTTTACAGTCGTATTTTTTAAATATTTTGGAACGCATATACAGATGCATCAGCATGAAAATACTTCAATATTTTACTAGAAATGCTAACTTCATACAGTTTCTTTATTTAAATATCTGCAATTCTCAAGTCTAATAATACGGAAAAAAAAAAAAGATCTTTTGTTTCCAAGGCTCTGTGAGTGTCCGTGATGCTGTTCTGGTCACAAAGACCCCATATCCAGGTCTCCTGAACCAATGGGGCCAAACTTGTTCCTGGTCACAAAGACCCCATATCCAGGTCTCCTGAATCAATGCGGCCAAACTTGTTCCTCTGACATCCATGTCAAGGGCTAAGTAGCTCAGTTTCTGGTTATCTCACCAATTCCCCCCCACACCCATAGCTTTCAGCCCAACTACTTCTCTAATCCCTCACTAACTCCTCTCTTCTGGAACAGAAAGCCTGTCTGCCACCACAAAAGGCTCTCCTGCCTCCTCTACCAGCCATGCTCCTCTGGTCCATCCTCAGTCATAAATACATTAAGGCCAACATAACAAAACAAAATGTGATAAGCACTGAAGGTCTTGGCAAATACAAAACTGCAGCACAACCCGCCCTGTGGGTGCCACAGTGACCTACAAACTGGGCTGCCTGCTCTGAGAGTCTCTAAGCGTATCAAAACTGAGATTGCTCCTTCTGCCCTTGGTTCCAGTCTCATCTCTCCTCTGCTGATGTGCATAAAGTTTCTCGTGGCCATTCCCACCTCCTGTCAGTTGTTGCCCTGTGATGGCTGCAGAGCTTTGTGCATGGCAGCAGAGGCAGCAGAGGGTTTGATCCAGGGGATGGAGAGCAGGGAGGTGGTGGTGGTGGTGGTCATGGTAACCTGAATCATCTGCTCGTTTTGTATCAGTCTAATGAGGGTTTTGAGACGTTCCAGTGATGACTGAGTCCCTTTCTGCTGGGCCATCAGGCTGGTTTTTAGCTCTAAGCATTTCTGTCAAATAAAGAGGAGAGGAGAGAGAAGGAAAGACTGAGAATACATTCAAAGTGGTGTCAAACATCTCTCCAAACATCCTTTGGTGCCTTGGGTGCACATTCTGCTCAAATGAAGCATGTTCTCCTTTGGGGAAAGCAAAACCACAGCTTAACAAATGGAGCAATCAGCAGTGCTGCACACACTGCAGCAGCTGTCTGAGGGAACAATATCCTTCCCAGGCCAAATGCACTTGGAGGGTGTTTCTGACTCCATCCTGTAGACAGGAACACTTTCTGCGCTCCACAGAGATGCCTGGCACAGGAGTGCAAGAGCTGTGTTACTGAAAATACAGAAGGCACCACTCAGGTCTCTCACTCTTACCAAAGAACCCTGATAAATGCTCACCAGGATGCATTTCATATGTGCCACACATTTCAGGGAATAGGCACTCTGAAGACACATTAATCTCACTGATATCTCAATGATATCAATATTTTTCCAGCAGAGAACTTTGCTCCAAGACACAACTGTCACACCAGAGCACTCACAAGAAAGCTTTCATCCCTCAGGGTGGCCACATTTCTCCCCGTGATCTCTTGAAATAAAAACCTCCATGCAAATGGGCACGAGAGCAGGAGCTAAACAAAGGCATCCCAAATCCTCCATTTCTCCAAGAACAGGTGGGAAGAATCAGTAATTCTCCCATAAATTTCTGCATCCAGCACCCCATTCTGCAGTGAGGGACAGACCCACACCCTGAGTCTGTCTCCAAGATGAAAGGGGACAGTGGCCTGTAATACCTGAAACCTGTTTTCTTTCTCCCAGAGCGCCCAGGATTCTGACCAGACCAATTATTTCTCTGCAGATTGCTTCCCTTTGGTAATGGTCCACATTGCCCGGGGGTGGGGATTCTCCAGTCCTGGGGGTTTGGGAAATGCTCACTTGAAAATCAACCTGTTTGGAAAGCAACTGTGTGGAGTTGCTCAGAGGTTGGTTTAGGGACATGAAATTTCACATGAAAGATAAATTATGTTCTGTTTTTACCATTGCAGCTGTGGGTGTATGAGAGTGTTCCCTTTCATATAAATCTCTGTTAAAATGTCAGAATGAAATTGCTCTGTGTGGGACACCTTTAATTTATTTTCTTCTTTCAAGTGGATACATTTCTAATAAATGTAATCATTGGCACATATTACCATTTAAATAAGACAGTGCTGCCCACTGGAAGAACCTGGTTCTGCTTAGGTAGAAATCTTATTGATTTTGACAGCTATGACACACACCTGATAGCTGACAGCTTTTCTTTTTCCAAATTTCCTCAGCTCACTGCACTCTCCTACCTATTACACACACATGTGGTTCCATTAGTGCTGCACACATGTACAGGGAATATACAGTGATGTCTTTTAACAAGTTATTGCTTTTCCTTCTACTTTGTTTTATGTGATAAATATTTTAACATGCCCCCTCTGGATAACTGCAATGGTAAAACAAGTAGAGAGCAGTTATTCCTGCAGCTGCCACTTGGCTTTTTCCAGGGTAAGGAAGTGACAAATATTTATTGAGGCTGCCCTGAAAACTAACAGCTGCCTCTCAGGGTGGAAGTAGCCCCAGATAGTTCCTTCAGTCATGAAGGGTAGGAATTGGGCTTTGAATTAAGCTACTCATAGCACAGCACGTGTGTAAGACACCCCAGACAACATTTAGCTTTGAAATCAGTTTGGAGAGACAAAATAGTCCATGTCCAGTCATGGAGAAATGCTACAATACTCAGTAAAGATGGTTATTTCTACTTAATACCAAGAGGTTTGAGCTAATGGACAGGCAGCTACCACTGGAGGACAAGCTTGCAACCAAACTTTTCCCCTAGAGGATGGAAGTGCCTTGAAGTCATTGGGTACCTCAGAGCTATGGATGCAATGACAAGGAAGGCAGCCATGGCTACCTGTGGAATTTTGTTTGTTTACCACAGAAATTCAAGTGATTTCTCCTCCTCTGCCTCCCAGAGTGGCTTACTTTTGTGCATAAAGAAAATGCACACGTACTTCCTCAGAGAGAAACACATTCACACTTGAAAATCTACTGCCTGGGAGCTTGAATCATTTTCTAGCCATAAAATACAATTTTTTTGGGGGCTTGAATTCTTTATAAACATCTCTTCAGGAGACTGTGTGTCCCCATCAGGTGTCCTACCTTCACTGCATTGTTGAGTAGTCGATCTTTTTCTTCCAACTGTCTGTGCTCACTCTTCAGCTCACTGCTCCTCTTTAATAACTTTCTCTTCTCCTCTTCTTTGACTGTGGAACAATAAGATTAAGGATGCAGAGGTTAAGAAAAGGATGTACTGTGCACTTGAGGACAGAAAGGTATTTTGCAGGGTGAGTTTAAGGTCTCATTCGTTTTTTATCAGCAGGTACAGCCAAAAAAATCTGGAGTTTCTGTCTGCAGGAATTTCTTCACTAAAAGGGTGAGCAAGCATTGGAAGGGGCTGCCCAGGGAGGTGGTGCAGTCCCCATCCCTGGAGGTGCCCATGGCACTCAGTGCTCTGGGCTGGTTGACAAGGTGGGATCAGGTTGGACTCAATGAACTTGGAGGGTTTTTCCAAACTAAATGGTTCTGGGATTCTGTGCATGTGTCTGTGTCAATGGTTACCACACAGGAGGACAACCCAAAAGGTACAGGGCACCTTTAATGTGAATTAAAATTAATCCTTAGACTACATGTGATCCTGGAGGTCTCCAAGAAAGAGGTGAGTGGCATTTAGGAAGAGGCCAGCCCCTTGGAATGGCAATAGTTAGTGACCCTGGCAGAAAAGCACAATTATAAGTGTGCCAGACCTCCATAAAGGTCCTTACAAATATCATCTAATGCCCCTAACAGGCTGTTGTAAGAGTCCAACAGGGAATTAAAAAAGAACAATGCTCAATGCAGAGTGTCACACATGACTCAAGTGGCTGCCATACCCCATAACACAGAAAAAATGAGAAGCTGGTGATGCTGTGGTGTCAGGCACACTAGCTTGGCATTGTGCACACACCCAATTCCATTGCTCTGCTGAGCCTGACTCTGCCTCACCATGATTCTGCCTCAAAATCCTGTTTTCAGCACTGTTCCAGGGAAGGCACCCTTTGATGACAGCTTCCTCCAGCAGAGTGAAGCTCCTGAGAGATCACTTTCAACTTCCTTACAGAGAGAAGGCAGCAGAGGAGCAGATCAAGGGGAAGGGGACAGAAAAAGTCTGCTCTCCCCAGTCATTCATGGCCCTATGACCTACACCATCAGACCTGGCAGCATTGTAATGCTATTTGATATTTCAGCTAACAGCATTGCTATCATGAGCAGGGAACCCCTTGTCAGAGGCTGAGGTAATCCCTACCTGTTTTATGAGTAACATAGGAGTGAACAATAGCCAGAGTTCCAGTCCATGGCACATTGTCATCTTTCTTTAAAACCTATAAGCCCAGGAAACAATAAATGGTTAGGATTCCAAAAAAACACGCATTACTGTTTGCTCCAGCCTTACTGATTGGCAGGACCAGAACTTGGGTCCTTGTCTCAGAACATAAAAGTGATCTCAAAGCTAAACACAAGAACTCTATGGCACAGAATCTACAGTTTAGAATTTTAATAATTTTTTTCTTTCTTGTGCAATCAGCATTATTCACAGCAACCAGACAGTTTAGCATATCTCACATAACTGTGATGAACAGTTGTGTGTAACAAATGTGATTTAAAGAAAAGGAAGTTTTCTCCTCACACCTTTCAGATCCACTGGTGAACAGTGTCTTCTTCTGACACTGCCTTCCTCATCTCTAAGATTGACATTTAAGATTTTCTTTTGTCTGGCTGCATTCTGGTGGTGTCACTGTAAACAAAGGAGCTGAAGGAACTGAAAAGACATCTTAAGAGGATAATTCTTAGCAATTACAGGCAAGCTATAGCACTCCCTCTATGTTTTAACTCTAGGATGGTAAAAAATACAGAAACAAATACTGCAAACTGCACTAAAACCATCTCAGTACTTCTTTATCTAATGTAGTCCACGAGCTACAACAATAGGTTAGATTTGTTTAGGGGTACACAAATCCAAGGTGTCTCCCATTTTCCCTTCTTGATACACCATGCTCCATGTAGCTTACCTTCTGTTGGCACTTTGGGCAGACCCAGAGCCCTTTGGGGGCAGTTTTGAGGGGTGGGTCCAAGCAGTTGAGGTGATATGCTCTGGGACACGTGCCACAGGGCTGCAGGTTAACGCCACGCTTGCAAGCAGTGCAGTGCTCATCGTGGTGGATCTCGTTCTGCAAGAGAAGGGTGCCCTGGGTAAAGTCAATCCATTGAGAACTTCTCTCTACACAGCATTCAAAGCCTCTACTGCAGCAGACAGGCTCCTTCAAACACGAAATCTAACTGTCAAAAGGACCCTGACAGACACAGAAGACAGAAGTAATAGATATATGATAGCAACAAATACAAACGACAAGTGACCCAGAAGCAAGTAACAGAAATTGAAACAGAAACATAAAACCCTACTAATTAAACATAGGAGAGAGTCAACTAACACAGCCAGATTGTGAAATAGGAATTATTTCACTTTTTTCTCTGCCAGTTTGTTACTACAACACATGAATCCCCATGCATGGCTGTGTCCTGGATCACAGTTAATGTGGGAATCACTTGTCTGTCATGCCCAAAGCAAAGGGAAGCATAAAGGAAAAGGGTTCTGGGGAAGAAGCACAGTCCATGTTTCATTCCCACTGCCTCAAAGGGCAGCTGGGGAAACAGGAGGCTGGAGCACAGCCTTGGGCTATAAACCCTCTTTTGTGAACTCCTCTGGCCTCTTTCTCCCTGGCACTAATTGGTCTCTGCTCAGACTTGCTCTGACAATCTTTCTCCAACAAGACTGATTAGTGCTTTGTGTGAAGCAACACACAACATGAACTGAGACTCATCAACAAAGATACAGTGTCATGTAGTAGATTGCTATGCTAATCTGGTGGCAGCATTAATTACTCTTTTTAATTAAGGAGACTGATTCTGAAACTCTCATGCCTTGTGAATCATTACAAATAATAAAAAATTCCTACTGCTTTTCTAGGAAGTAGAATAGTGATTTTATGTTTTTCAATTCCAAAAGTGTGCTTTCATTTTTGGAATAGTAATTAAAAAGTTTCATGGCAGTTTTAGTCAGGTTTATATCCTGAATTCTAAACCAGTCCTGTCAAAAAAATCACTCTCCAAAATATTACTCTTTATAAACTACCTGCTCAAAGAATCTTAATTTTAACCCCAATGTAAGGAGATTTAATCTTTACAAACTAGAATGGTTACTCATTTTTCTTATGAAATTTTCATTAAACTCATAAATCTGGACTAGCAATTTCTCAATCAGTGGAGTCAACAAAGGGACTAAACTCAAGCCTTGCATGTGAAAGCCCAAGAGTTCACCTCTTTAAAATTCTAGCTTAGGGACTCAAAGATTTAGTTAAGTGGGAGAAGAGAATACTGCAGTTAGGTACCTTGAGAGTGACTACAACAATCAGGGGCAAGCACTGAATACACAGTGATGAGAAAGATACCTGCTAATACACAAACTTTGCCACACATACCTTCCAGAATGAATCCTCATTTGCTAGCATGCAAAAGAAGGGCAGAAAACAGATCAGTGGAAAATACATTGCTGCAGCGGTTGCTAGTTCTCAGCTGCCGGAGTAATTTTAATCAAGATGTGGCATAGGAGATCAGGACATTGCCAAAATTAATGCAGGCAGTAAAGAATGTAACAGCAAGCAGGGAAGTTAGCATTTGAGATTTAAAAATGTACGTTGCAGGAATCCCATGTCCAAAGGTCTGATGCTAAATGGTCATAGTATTTGGAATTTTCAGAAATTTTCATGCAGAGCTCCTCTCCACATGCCAGTAGTCAAAAAGTATTCCTGAAGGACAACAGGATGCTGGGTGTTGAAAAGGCTGTCCCTGAACCAGCAATGCACTCAATGTGGAGTGTGAAATGGGTGCCTCCAACCAATCCTTAACACAGATTTAAATGTTGAGCTGATTCCTGGACAAAAAGGTCAGCTCCTGAAGGAGTGAGCCTGAGGGGATCACCAAGTCCTTCTCATCAGACTACTCCCACCAGGACACCAGTGACCTCTGGATGAACTGAGTCTGCACTGGTTGTATTCACAGCCTGACAGGAACAAGAACCAAGAGAGCTCACTGGAAAGCAGGCCAAGCCTTCCATAAAAAAATAAAAATAAAAATTGTGGATATCAACACACTTTGATCCAAAAATAAAAAGCCAGAAAAAATAAAGAGCTTTATGGAAACTGCATAGTGTGCTGATTTAATAGAATCACAGAATATCCTGAGCTGGAAGGTACCAGCAGGATCATTGAGTCCAGCCTCTGGCCCTGCACAGACACCCCAACAATCCCACCCAGTGCCTGAGAACATTGTTCAAAGTCTCCTGGAGCTCTGGCAGCCTTGGGGCGGTGACCAGACCCAGGGGAACCTGTTCAGAGCCCCACCACCCTCTGGGGGAAGAACCTTTCCTGATATCCAGCCTAATATGGCCCTGGAACAGATCCAGCTATTTGCTTGAGTCCTTTCAAGGGGCTAGAGCTAATGCTGAGCTTGCATCTTCATTTTTATATTTAACAGCCTCTGACAGATTTTTTCTTCCATAAATTTCTCTACTTTTCCCAAAAATTCTAGTATACTTTGGCAATGAGGTCCATAAATAATCACAGACTAATAAAATGTGTAGATGTTACTTCATATCTAAAAATACACACACAAAGGTCCACCAATGTATGACACCATGATTACTCAGGGGATATAAATGCTATTCAGATAACAGAGGCTTGATAATTGATGAATCTTTTGTACAAATGATACATGTCAAGGGACGTGACATCATTTCAGAAAAGACATTTTCATTTAAATCAATCCTGATCAATTAACATTTTGATCAAAATTTACAAGAATTGTCTTCTTCTGTATATCCAGAAATGACAGTTGTTTCCTTGACGTCATGGGGATTTTTTTTAGTTAGTTTGTCTTTTCAGCTCACTTTTGCTGCAAAGCTTTAAACTTCTTAAAACATGTCCATTTCCCTCTTCTAGTTGATGAAAAATTAACTGAAGACAATATTTTTAAAGGAGCATTTTAAAAGAGAATGGCAGCCATCTCTGCTCTGAAGCTGGAGAATTGCATCACTGCAGAGCCAAGCAATCTGGGACAGCACCTGCCTTCTGCTCAGTGCTTGCACAGCATCCAGCAAAACAGGGCTGGTGCCAGAAATATCCTTGCAGATGTGGGGGATTCTGCTATAAAGAAGTCCATCTCAACATTCTCAGAACTCTGGATTCTGAAAAAACCAAAGATACAGGACTCAAAGAGGAATTAATGATTAAGGAGAGAGGTTGCTGATTTACAGGAAGCTCTGAGACAGCTGCAACAGTAGACATCTGTCACTTGCCCACTTCCTTGTAAATAAAATGAGAAACATGTAGTGAAAGGAAGGTCAGAAATATCAAAACCTAACTTAAACCCACCAAGGGGCTGGAGGCACAACTTGCTAACAATGCCATTCTGTCCTGATTTCTCACATGTGTTTACATGGGGAAAGCAAGTGCTATGATAAGACAAACAATCTATTACAATTTTATTTTGAATATAAAACTAAGCCAGGAATAATATTCTTTCCAGTGGGGCTCACATGAGCCTGGCTTCCTTCTAAGAGGCATGTCATCATAGCTGCTTCCTGTAGTAACCTCTCCTGTCCTCTGAGACCAAATGCATTAGAGGTAAGTAAAGTAATGCATATGGTAAGTAGGCCAAGTGTCTGTATCTGAAATGTGGAATTTTGAGGGCAGAGAGAAGCACTGCTGCCTTTCAGTCGGTGCTCCTGTGGTGCAGGAAGTCAAGGCAGGGGCAGAAAGGTGAATCTCAAGCACTAAACACGACACTTGACAGTGAGATTGAGCAAACACTGAAAAACTGTCAAAACTTCATGTCTCAATTGTAATTACCCCTGAAAATGCTCCTAATACTGAAATAATATTTGACTTAGATAAAGGTCTCTCTTCCCTTATCTCTATAGCTTCTCAGTAGAGAAAAAGTTATAAAGGCAAAACAAGGGCAAGGATAGAATTGAATTTCTTTACTGGCTTTGTCTTCTCTTCTGAAACAGAAGTTCCTCACTTTCTTAAAATAGTACATGGGTCTTGTCTGAAGAATTAAACTATACGCAACATTCTCTGTGTTTCACCTCTCATTCCCAACTCTTTGTCTTTGTGTTGCACATTTTTTCCTGAAATGTGCTTCTACCCATGAGCTAATCATCAGCATCCCCAAATGGCTCCTTTGAGTTGTTAATTCTCATGGAATTTGCTATTAAGTTTCAGATATGAAGTTCTTATAAGTACAAGACTGGAAGGCATCTTGAAGGTCATCAGGTTTAGATTTATGACTCTACCTCTTGGAATCAGAAAAACTGGCTTTCAGCCCTTGTTACTGAAGCAAAATTTGTGGGAAATTTCTGGTGCCTGAGGATGGAGAGCAGTTTCTTAAAGCCAGTTGGAAGAGGCAAAAAAAAGTCTAAAATAGTAATAATTTTTTAAAATGTATTTTTAAGTACTTGGGGCTGGCAACACTACTTTCTTCAATCAGTTCTCTCACTGCATGGTGCTTAAAGTGCCTGTCTTAGGTTGCAAGATGTGGCTGGGCTGTGTAATCTATTGCCATCTGTATAGAGGTGGGGCAGTTATCTGCTGTTAATTGGGCCAACCATTAAAACCAGGTGGGCCAGTTTTCTTTATCTCCTGCACAACCAATCCTCCCTCCAAGAAATATCATCTGTTAATGAGCCATTGAGTCTCACTGCATAACTAATAAAAATTACACAATCCCATTATGAGATGCTTTGCCCAGGGGGAGGAGCCAAACATTCCTACCTGGATATAATCTGAGATTTGGAACACCAGAGACAGCCTTTTCCACTGGATTCCCAGAGGAGCAGCTTTCTTTTCCACTAGATTCTCAGAAGAGGACCAGGCCCATCTACCCCACCACAGGACCTTCAGAGGAAAACTCCACCCTTCTACAGCATCACTGTTCCAACAGAACCACCCCTGGCACTGCAGGAGGGCTGAGCCACCATTTAATGGGACTGCTGCCAACACCCTGACCCACAGGGTGTCAGGGCCTATTCTGACTGTCAGTTTTGGTTTGTATTACTGCATTTCTATTTCTTCCCCCTAATAAAAAACTGTTATTCCTACTGCCATACATTTGCCTAAGAGCCCTTTAATTTCAATATTATAATATTTCAGAGGGAAGGGGTTCACATTTTCCATTTCAGGGGAGGCTCCCGCCTTCCTTAGCAGACACCTGTCTTTTCAAACCAAAACAGTGCCAGAGATCAGATTTTCCACTGACTGCAGAGGTTTTGGATCCATCTCTACTAAACCCTTCCATTGTTTTTGCAGAAAAACAATTTCTTTTCACTCCATATTAAAAAATACAGCGACATTACACAAAGTAATGCCCTGTAGTATCCTAACAGTAACTCATATGAAATCCTACTAATAAATTTTTAACACATCATTAGAAGAGTAGTATATTCATTTAAAAATATGCTTACCTCTTGTTGAAAGGAACAAGGGGTTATTCAAATAATTTGATGCAAGGCGTTTCCTCTAGAAGGGAAAAGAAACCAACCCCCATGTCATTGCAGTGCTCTGGTTCTCTCTTACATTTCACATTATCAATTTCCATGGGCTTATCTCACACCTAACTAGCTCTCCAAAAGCTACCTAGAGACCACTGACACAGTCAGACAAACAGTTGCATGATTTACCTTTCCAACAAGTTTTTCACAGAGCAGTTTATTGTGTATTAGCTTTTATTAAGAAGAGAGAAATACAAATTGTGAATGTTATTGATGGGTTTGCAGGATATGTCTCATGGGCTGGTAAGAGCAAGACTACAGCAAAACTAACTCCAAGCCCAACAATGTCCATTAGGGAAAACTGTTGCTGTGAGATTACATTTTTATTTGCATATATAGAAATGGTCATGGGTTCCTCACCTTCATCTATATATAAGAACTGAATATATGAGATATCATTTTATTTTCATAGCCTCAATAGCCTCTTTTTTCATAGGAAAGGGTTACATCTTGGGTTATTATATATATAAATTTTGGGTTGCTATATATATATAATTAGAGGGGTTTTGCTACTGAATTTTTTATTCTGTAGTGAACAAACTATTCTCTTACAGTTGGGTGCCTGAGAGTCTGTTAATGCACTTTGAATAGATGTTTCTTTCTTCAAAAAATAACCAGCCCAAAATGTAATCATTTACTATGGAAAAAAAGGCTATTGAGGGTACAAAAATTAAATGGTATCTAATTTTCTTAAAGAACAAAGCCTTGAGAAGAAAAAGCACACCATTCAAGTGAAGACATAAGACCATGATCATATTTTTGTAGTCAAAGTATCACCACTACAAATGCTGAACTCCTGCCATTTTGAGGGGTGTTGGCAAATAAAAGGTCTAATTTACATGCGATTTCAATTTAAACAATCATGAATTAAAGATCATTCAGCAGACTAAATTAAACTGCACTAAAATGCCTGAAATGCCACCAATACCTCAACTCCCTGATTAGCAAACCAGTCTGAGCAGCTAATTGATTAGAGAAAAAACATCTGCCTCCATTTTACTTGGATGGCAATCCCCATGGTCAGTAGTTAATGACAGCTCCTAATGAGGACACAGCTGATCAGCCACAGGAGTCCTTCACAGACATTTCTTTCTCCATGCCATCCTCCATTCAAGCATATGCTTTTGAGAATAGATATTATGAGAAATATGAACTAAGGGTGCAGTAGACCTAGGCCATCTTCTCTTCCACATATCCAAGGTAGTAGAGTTTGTCACAAACACCAATCTGGCTATAGCCACAAAATTCTGCTACAAGTATTTTAGTAATCAGGACAAAAACGTCTAAAAAGCCACAGTTTTAATGCTAGCAAGGCTAAAGTTCCTACTGTGGTAAATACGGCTCATTTGGACATTAGTATTTGCACTGAAAAAAAATAGTTGAGGAATTCTGAAGAACTCAAGTGCCCAGAGCTGTTCTGGAGTATAAAAATCTCCAGTGCTTTCAGAAAAAGAACAATCAAACAACTCAGCAGTTTGACTGCAGCAGTGTGTTTCTTCTTAGTCTCATCTGTTTGCTATCTGCCAACAAAGACAGGAATCTGAAATACTGGCATACCACAAATTCTGCATCACTTATGCCTAAATAAAGAATAATCACTTTCTTTAGTCCTAGAGAACTCAGAACACAGAGAGGCCTTGCTTAAATGGAGAGCTGGCTACAACTGAGTTTCATCCCAGTAGAAAGTTCAGACAGTAAACCCAAATAGTGCTGAAATTTTAAACATGAAATTTTAATTAGCTGAATAAATGCATATATGCTAGTTTAGAAACAAAGAAAAAAAATCTATAAAATGTTAAGCCTATTTTTATGCTGCTTTTACACCAAGTTTGCAATCTAATATTAGGCAGGACCAAATTGTGATACTTCTATAAATGCAACAGTGTAACAGACAACAGAGATAATCCAGAGCATTTAATTTTTAATCATGCATTATTATATTTATTGTGCAGATTTCTATACCCTCTGCAGACCACAATGATTCATAAACCAACACACCCCTTTTATGAATGTGACAAATTGAAAAAAAAAAAAAATTGGGACATAAGAAAAGAGAATTTCTTATTTGGCACGTAAGAAAAGAGAAACAGCAATGCCCATTTGAACATAATGCAGCACTTCTGCTGTCCAGTTATGATCTAAAGGGACTGCCTTTGTAGATAAAAGTAATTAGGTCCCACACTAATTTAGCTCTCTTGGACTTTATTAAAACTAAGATGAATTCTAGTTTGGAGCAAGTGACGTTGTGTGGTGAAAACCTATTGCTTCCCCACTGAGATATTTTCTTTCTTTTCTACATCAGGATCTCTTTACAAGTAGCTGTGGTTTTGCATTCATATATATTTTTGTAGTAAGACACACTTAGACCTTTTATTGATATGAATTCGAGCTGTGGTAAAAGAAGTGAATGATGAAGTACCTCTGTTTCCAAGAGTCCACTGTAGGCTGGATTTGCTGTGCTTCTTCTCTTTCTTTCCTGACGCTTGCTCTGGATTTCTGTAACCATGGAAAGGAACACGAACTGTGAATTTCTCATTCATCAGGGAAAAATGCAGATATAACTTGTAAAGCAAAATGATCTTACCCTCAGCCCCTTGAGCTTTGAGTTCTGTTTCATTTTCTAAAGTACAATTGTGTTGCATCAGCATTGATATTTGCTGCAGTTCAAGGTTTGACATTAATAAGCTTTTCCTTGTGAGATTCACAGGCATTTTTTTATTTTTTTCTTCCTTCAAGGTAGACTTCTGGTGCCCTACAAGAATTTTATTATGATCTCTTCAGACACATATTCAGCAAGCATCAGAGAGCCTTCAGAGTACTCTCCTCCATGGAGCTTAGAAAAAGCATAGTTGAAATGGCACAGGTGGATTCAGTGATGATTTATCCACCCAGAACATAACTTCATAACCCTGAGCTTGCAAAATGTCATTTTGAGTCATATGTGCATGCTTGTGTCACTGCAAACACCAGCACACAGATGGGCTCTTTGGACAGCAGCCCATTTTATTCCTTCCACTAAACTTCCACAACTCCCTTCCACTAAATGGTGACACCTACTGAAGATGACACATGCTGAGGGCTGTGTTTAGCAACCACCAGCCATGTGCACAACTCTGGAAACACAGAAAGATGGAGCAGATTACTCAGACACAGAAATCTGTAGGTTTAATGTACTTTGATCTGAACCAGGATTCCATTTACATCACATGGAATTTCTTTCTGCAGCTCTTGACGTCAGTTCAGAATGCTGAGACTATTACAAGCATGTCTTTTAGAGCCCATTCTTTTGATTATAAACCCCACACACATTTTAGCAAGGAGAGCCACAGCATCCATCCCATGACATGAAGTGTGTGCTCTATTCCAAAATATTTCCTATGTGAATATTGTAAGGTCAATTTTAGACTTGGTGCTGAGGTACTAGAGGGTATTCTAAATGCCCTCATGGTGGTGATACCTCTGCTCTGTCTTGCTCCATCTCAGAAGGAGAGGAACTGGCAGGAGCATGTATTTCAGCCCAGAAGCCCTGGAGCCCACCCAACAGAAATTCAGGACACCATCTGATTATGCAACAGGTCTGGTGTCTTTCCTCAGCATCTGAGCTGAAGAGGTCTATCTCAGAACACACCCAGCACCAGAAAATGCCCTTCAGGGTATTCAGCAAGATCCCCCACCTGTAATCCAACAGTAAGATACAGGTGAGCTTTCAGGGTGTTTATGTACTTGGGAACTGGACCTCCAGCTCTTAGTTCTGGTTTCCAGCAAGTTTCAAGTCTTGATCATTCCCATATACCATTTTAAGGGTGTCAGTATTTTTGATCTTGTCTTGTACATAGTGTCCCTGGAGATGAGGCCAACACTTTATATGGGTTTTGTACTGGCCTAACTTCCAAGATTGGGTTTAAAAACTTCCAAGAATGGATTTAAAACTTTCCCTTCACAAAAGAGTATTGGCTAAGCTGCTGTGCTTGGAGTGATGGGTGCATCAGAAGGAATCTAGATGGACAAGAAAAACAGGAGAGTAACTACTAGCTGGGCTTTCCTATGGCACAGGGACATGTCATCTCTCATGTTCAGAAGGTGTCTTCTCCTAGGGCACTTGAAATAGCACAGCCACAAGCTGCCATGTGACTCAAGGGGCTGCACAGAATCTCACCACCAAGAAATGTGTGATCTGAAGCTGCACTAGGATAGGAGATAAGTGCTTTGGCTGTAACCACTGTAACATCACATTAACATCATTCAGGCCATGTAGACTCCAAAACACAGGATCTTGTCTGGGAAACAGTTCAGTCCTACTGTGAAAATATTTCCTATGAAATGCTCATGTGTCTATGCTGAAATATCCATCCTGAAGCTCCCAGGCTCTCTGAAAGCCTCTAAAGGGAATTGTGCCTCAGCAGCAGGGTGAGTGCTACAAGGATACACAACTGTGACTTTCAATGGCCCAAAAAAAAAGAAACAAAGAATTCAATGCAGCAGAGTTTTCTTTGTAATGTAACTGGGGCAAGAATCTCATAAAAGAACAGTGATGGATTTGTAGCTCTCTGTCCTTCTTGGTCCCAAGTTAAAGAGAAAATTTCTTTGGTACATGCTCTCACCAAGGCAACAGAAAATATCTGGTGAGGTCTGAATCACACAGATGGCAGATAGTTGGAATGCAGCTTTGGAAGAGGCATTGCTATGGTACAGAGATAAGAGCTGGCTGGGACAAAAAGTAATAGCAGTGGGAATGGATGGAAAAGAAGAGAGAGAGAGAGAAATAAATGGAAACACCTCAAGATGTACAATACCCTATGCAGCCATCAGGGAGGGAGAGCACTTCCTTAGTGGAAATAAAAATACCATGCATCTATGTACTTGTGGAGTGGTTCTGTCAATAATTACACCTAGACAGAGCAAAAGCATACACTGGTGTGCTATCTTTTGTTACTTGTTACTTCTGCTAAAAAATATCGCATACTTTTCAGAACAGCATGCAATAAAGTTAAATTAAATTTGTTTCAATTGATGAAATCATAACCATTTCAGTAATCTAGATGGACATGCATTCTTAGAGTGACCTGAACTAAAGGTCCTTCTTTTAAAGTTTTGATTTCTATCTTTTTTTTACAAAATTGTAATGCTAAAAGGTGTTTGTAATAGCCTAGAGAAAGAGATTCAATATGTTACAACCATGCACTGCATCACAGAATAAAGCTACCTTATTCCTTAGCTTATCAATTAAAAAAATAGAAACCAAACAGGAAAAATTAAATGTTAGTACATTTGACAAAGATGAATGAATTTAAAGATAGCTTTATGTTGGAGGCCAAACTCCAGTGAGCTGCTGCCTTCACCAATCAACACTCTGCACGGTCATCCTATGAAGCCTGTGATGGCAATTTTCCTTCAGGGAAAGCTGCACCTTGCAGACTGTCAGTTAGTGGAGGCAGCTGTGTTTATTTACTGGTACAGATGCCTCACACTCAGGCTCTGCAGAACTGAGCTCTTTCCCCAGGCAGGGAATGCTTGTGTGGAGGTCAGGTGGAAAGGCTTCTAGGCAGATAGAGAAACACACATAGAAGTGGATCATCACAGCCCTTCACCAGAAAATTAATGAATAAAATCAATAAAAACTGTAACACTGTGAATTAGAGATACCATATGAATAAGCTTTTAATGATCCAATCTTGATAAAGTTAAATTCCAAAAATGTGAAATTGAAAAATAATTAGAAGTTTTAAAATAAACTGAACTGTGTAATGACTACTGCTTCCTGATAAATAGCAGTGACTGATAACTGTAAACATGACCCAGTAAAATAATAACCTTTAGCATGTGAAAGCTATAAGGAAATCTCTGACAGTTGTAATCACCAATTCTGATGAAGAAATACCCTTTCCATAGTAAATAGCTCTTGGCTGGAGCCATTTATTTAATGCTAGTAGAAATATGAAAAGTGAATTTGTCTTTAAGAATTGATTCTGCATGGTGAGTTTTGCAGCAGTTTGGTTTAAATGAGCATCTCCACACTTGGTGTAGAACAGAGAAGAGCACTGCTGGCATTTTGAACATAAGCAATAAATCCACACAAACAATTCATTAGTTTCAATAAAATCAAAGGGTATAGAATTATTCAAAATTAAGTCCTCTTTGTTGTAAGTATAATTTGCATTTCTGCATAATTTCAAATGTTGTCCTGTTTTCCTTAGACAAAGAAAACAAGAACCAATCATCATTTTCACTTTTTGGATTATAAATCTTCTCCCCAAATTTTTTTGATTTCCATTTCAATCCATGACCATTAAGGGATTAAAAATTATGAAGGCTTAAAATTTCTTTAAACTCCTTTCAAATTCTCCATCACTGGGACATAAAATTATTTTTTAAAATGCAGATTTAAAGAGGCAAAACACTGAAAAATAGAAACAAGACCCACAGGAAACCTGCTGCATATACTGAGGAGACACTACAATTCAGATATATTTTCTCACTAATTCACAACTTGTCTTAAAACCAAAGAACTGGAAATCTTAATAAAAAGAAAACAAGGTAAAAATGGTAGATACCTTGAGACAGTGAGGTAGCTAAGCATGCTCCTAAGTCTAAAGCACATAAAAGTTAAACTCAGTGCACTGGAAATTCCTGAGTATTCTGCTTACTATGATCTATGGTGATAAATATCAATTGCCATTAACACTTTTTGTGATCAAGAATCACTGCCAGCTGACACAGATATTTTCTCTCCTTTTACTGGTGGAATCACATCAACTTGTTGTAGCTGAACTTGTAACTAAAACCATAAGGGTGCAAATCTTTTCTTCAAAATACCTGCATCATCTCTGCCCATGAGAACTATTCTGCCACCCCAGCTTGTCTCATCTGCTAAACAAACTCTTTCCCCCCCTCCTCTCATCTCTAATTTCAGAGCAACAAAGCTGAGGCAAAGAAAGATACAAATTTGCTAACTTTTGCAAGCTATTTTTGGAAGGTTGGAGAAGGAAACTGAAAGGATGTGATGCTGATTTTAGCTTATGTGCAATATTTGTTTGAAGTCATATTCAGGAGCCTGAGAAGACATGCTAGATGCTCTCAGGCAAACACAGGGTTTGATGGGAAGTTTGTTAAGTTTTTGGCTAAGTGGGGAAAAGGGAGGGAAGGAATTCTTTGAGAAGTAGTCCTAAGTAAGTAAAATCTTATGAAACAAATATCAGATTTTCACCACAAATTTACATATTATTCTGTGGAACTCTAGAGGTGATGGACAACTCAAAAAGTGAAAGTCCATCTCACATGGGAGAGAGCAGAGGGCACTTGCTGCATATCTGGGCAAACATCTCTGAACCTCACAGATCCACCAACCAGATCAGTGGCAGTCAGAGCCCTGGCAGGATTTTTGTTTCACTGTTTCTTCCAGGTCTTAACATCTTTTAAAGGACCGTGGTGACTGAGTGAGCCCAAACACCAGCCTGTGCCAAGCAGGGCCAGCCCTCGTGCCCCTTGAGCTTTGCCATGGGGTGGGAGGCACAGCTAAGGTCACCCCTACTGTGACACTGAAAGGCACAACTGTGCAAAGGTAACTCTGCATCTGATTTTTTAATTTTCATTTTTTCAGTTTTCATGCCCTTCAGAGAAGGAGAGAAGGAAAACTGGGAGGGAATCTTATTGATGTGTATAAATATCTGCAGGCAGGGATCAGAGCATGGGCTGGGCTGTGCTCCATGGTGCCCAGCAGCAGGACAAGAGGCAATGTGCAGAAACTGATGCCCAGGAAGCTCATCCTGAACATGAGGAAGAACTTCTTTTCCAGAAGGGTAACAGAACACTGAACAGATTGCCCAGAGAGGCTGTGGAATCTCCTTCTCTGGAGAGATTCAAAAGCCATCTGAACACAATCCTCAGCAACGTGCTCTGGCAGAGAAGCCAACAGAAAAGATTTCATTCAAAAACTGAACTGTAAATCAACATATGCCACCTTACCTTCCAAATGTTCTGTTGTAACCAGTCCTAGTGCTACCATGAAGGCAATTTTCTGAGGAAAAAATAAATGGGTTAGATTTTCTATTATAGTGAACGTGGTAAGAAAATAAATAAAATTAACATTGACAGAATAAACCCAGTAAAAGTCTTTTAGAAATGTATCTTATTCGAATGTATAGTAATGTAAAGAACTTTAACTGAAGATTTGCTTGAGATATGCGTGGTTCTCCTTTATGACTATATAAACTCAAGCAGTTCAAAGATGTCTGAAGTCAATGCTCAATGCCTGCTGATCTTACACAGCACATGATCAATATTCAGTCAATTCAACCAGTTCAATTTCACATTGCTAGCTGGATTGTTACTCAATTATTTAGTGAAGTAATTTTGTATTATTTTTACCATCTGGCCATGACACACTGCTTTTATTGGATATGAGCAAGCTGTAAGAAGTGAAATAAGTATGATCTGTACAACACTAAACAAGACATCAAAAGCATATTGGAAGTCCCCTCCCATTAAAAAAAAAAAAAAAAAAAAAGGCCAAACAAACAAACAAAAAATCCCAGAAATTTCTCTTCCCAAGTTTTAAAAGTAACATCTTGTGCATGGATTTTAAGATGTATACTGATCCAACATTTTTCCTCAATGGGGAGTGATCAAACATCTCCCACTGACACTGGTGAACTCATTTTGCAGTGTGAAATCTGATCTAAAATATTATTCACAACTCTTCTAAACTATATATGCACAAAACAAATCTTCATACAAAAAAAAAAATCAGAACATGCTGATGCAGTGACAGGAAAAGTATTAGAGAGATTCTAAATTTTCTGTCAGTGATTTCTCACTGGAAAATGTTTCCTTGCGGAAAGGTTTTGCTGAAGGTTTTATCACATGTTTTTGATGAAAACTGAAATTGCACTGTGTTGTTCCAAGCCCAAATGGAACTGAACTCCCTGGTTTTCAGTCACATTTGTGGGCCTCCTCTTTCTGCTGTGCTGAACAATTTTGTTGGATTTTCATGAGGTTCAATTCCACAGGAGAGACAATCTGACTGTGCAACTCAAGCTCTTGAGAAATCCAAACAAGCAAAGCCCACAGTCCAAGTCTGAGGGGGTGTACAAAGACCATAGGAAGATGTAATTATCATATCTCAAATAAAATGCTCAGATTTAGGTCCAACTAAACCACAGTGTTTAAGCAGAAGGTCAAAACTTTGTTTTATTCAAAGAATGTCAGGAGAACGTGTTTCAACACTTCCAAGCCAAAATTAGTCTGACCTTCTTGTTTTGTGAAAAGCCTGATGATTTAACTTTCTGTTCAGGATAAAATCAACTAGTAAGTCACCAGAACTACAATTTCCTTTTCAATTCTGACTTTCACTTAGTGAAATCGTGGAAGCAAAAACATCCTCATTTTGAAATTAAAAGATCTATTGGGTGGGTTCATCAAAATCAGAGAGTTAGGTTTGGACATCTCTACCACTCATGCATCTGTGAAAATACCTTTGTCAAACAGGTGAACTAACACCCATGTTAGACAGGAATATTTCCTTTCCGCAACCTCAAGAGATTCATATTCTCCAGGCAGATTAAAAAATGGTGGTGTAATGGCACTGGCAATTTAGATATATTCACACTGTATTTCTGCCTTCCATATCTGTGGTAATTGTACACACGTGTTCATTTGCAAGTCAGACCTTGATTTCAGTAATATTCACTCCTTACATGCCTGAAACACCAGCCAGGCACAGTGGGGGCCCCACACCTGAAGGAAAAGATGAATATTTGATTCACTGTGCAGATCTGAGAAGAAAATTATTCACTGAGCAGGATTACAATCTTCACCTCAGCCCTGTCAAAAAGTAACAGTGGCAATTTACTTCTCAGCACTGCGAGCAAAATAATAACAATTTTAGGGACAGAACCAGGAAGCTGGAATGGGTAATGTGTGTTTTCTCAATGGAGTACAGAATTCCTGCATCACCCCAACGTCAAAATGTGGAGAAAGCACATATTTTCTGATGCCTGAACTGGAATTTGTGTACTGGAATTTTGCTAGACAATTTTCTCTTGTCATGCTAAAATTGTTTGAGTATGTATCTAAATGCAACATACTTGCTTAAAATATGAAGAGCCATCAAGTGGACTTGATAATTATCTCATGATTAAACATAGGAAGTGTCAGTTTTTATAGTTCCTTTTAAAGGAACTAGAAGATGGTTCCTTTTAAAAACATCCCAGTACAAGCTGTATTCTTTTGAACAAGCATATTATATTAACAGCCTATTTTTTATGGGTTTTGCTATTTCACACCTCTGCAGCTGATTGGATTCAACTCAAAATCTGACTTCCATTGCAAAACTTTAGTTTCAAATATCACAGGGTCTATTGTTTGTCCTCTGTAGAGGAAGTTGCAAAGCAAAGATTTCATTTTCTCCAGATTTTCAATCCACGCTTAATACTAGCATTTAGTTCACAATGGCCATGTGTCCCTCTTGTGCTCAGGAAAAATTAGAACACCAATAACTACATAACCAGCATTTATGGCAATATTTTTTCTTTTAGATAAAAACATTTTAGAATGAAAGTGTTGCCAGATAGTTTCCTAATATGAATTTTTAAATGATCAAAACGGGTTTGGCAGAGTTCTGTTTCTCTCTGTGTTGAACTCAGGTCTCTTCAAAAAAAAAAAAAAAAAAAAAATATTAACTTGGATTTTTATACTCTTACAGTGTGCATCGGTAGGATGCTGGACAGTAGAGTAAAACAGCTGTATTTGCGTAAAAATGAAGGGAAAAAAAAAAAAAAAAAAAAAAAAAAAAAAAAAGAAAATATTAACCCCCCCCCAAAAAAAAATGAACAAAAAAACCCACAAAAAAACAACATCCAGGGTATTTTCTCCCCAGAGGAGCAGCTCCCTTCTGTAATTAGCCCATTTCTTTACAGAAGTCATCCTGGTGGGAGAAGGCCCACCACTGGATCCATCACTATTGCTCTCCATCCCCAGCTGATGAGAATGAGTGAGTGGCCTCCTCCTCCTCCTCAGTCCATGACCAGCTTCAGGGCTCACCAGCAGGATGACCAAACCAGGAGCTAAAGACAGTAATTATCTTTGCTTTTCTCAGTTTGTTCAGGTACACCCAGTAATTGCATGTGGGATTCCCGGTTATTTGTAAGTCTGGTTATTTCTAGTTAGCTCATTACAAATTTATTAAATCCCAGTCTCTCCCAACTAAGTTCTGTACAGAGCCATACTGGAGTTCCTGCCTCAGTTTTCTGCTTTGAAAATAAATAAAAGTGAGAAGTGCCTTGAGTGCCTATTTTCTTTTTAAAAATACCATGCTGTTTTTGCTTTAAACTTAATCATCTGCTTATGAGCCGTGAGTGCTTTCAGAAATACACAGTATGTCTTTTCATGAAGCAAAACAAAGATTTTCATAAAAGCATTTCATTTTGTAATTACATGTTCTATTTATGTCATTACATGTATTTATACTAATTATGATGTTAGTTCTAATTACACTAATTGCATAAATACATGATAATCAACTAAAGTTTACTTTCAAAGAACAAAAGAAATTAACTCTAGACCTACCTATCTATGGCTGTGCAACAAATCTATGAAAAGAACTGTCATAGTTTAGGGCACAGTGTCAGCACCCTACCCAGAAAATTAAGGTTTTTGAGAGCTCCAGTAAACAGGGTAGGAACAGTGTCTGTGGTTAGAAAAAGATTGTTGAGATATTCTAGTTTGCAATGTAATGAAAATCTCACATTTCTGAATCCCATACTAAAAGTGTGCCCATTCCAATTGCCTCCTCCTGCATCTCTCTGGAAGGCTTTTATTAATTATTTTTTCCATGGGGAAAAGCTACAGACAAAGAAAAATTGATGTTTTTTCTTCCTAGCATTCTGTTTCTAAGCAGTGCCTACTGGTCTTTCTGCCCATAAGGTGCTACAACATAAAGAAGTTTTTGGAAATACCTGCCTAAACAAAACAGAACTCTTCAGTCCCATCATTCTGTGGTAATGAAGATTCATGTAAAGGTCAGATTTTAAACTTGGGAGGTTTCCCAAGCATAGCTTTGCAGAGCTTCTACATAGAGCTGTGATATTTTGGGCTAAAATATTTATCCTTAATACTGTTTTAACTCATGAACCTCCTAAAATGGTGAAAAAATTGACATGGTCAATGGATCATCCACATGGATGGCTCAAGTAACATAATTTATATTGTAATAATCCTCCTAAACCTACAGCTCTAAGGATGCTTTTGTGCTACACACTTATTAGACTAGTGAGGTTTAAGATTTCACAGGAGCTGAGCATTTCCACAAAAGAAGTAGATTCAGTCTGTATAACTCCTCAAACTAAAATTGAGACCTAATATAATTACACCTAATATAATGTGAACATATGCAGTCAAAACCCAAAATGTCTATTAGAGAGACCCCATTTCTACAAAGAGTTGCAGTTTATATTTCTGGTTTAAATCAAAATTATAATTCCCAAAAGAGATTTAGTCTCATTACCTGCTTTCTACTCTCTTACTCAATTTAAAGGATTTTAATGTATTTCAGACTAGAATCTGTCTACATATGGGAAGACATATACCCAGCAAATGCAGGAAACTAATAATACAATCTAAAAATTGCAAGATTCATTACAAAGATGTTAAAATTCAGCTTACAGAAGAAATGTTAATTCCACCTCATATGCAGCCTCTAAATCTGATGCTATATGTTGGAAAACATAAAAGAAAATATCTTAAGTTTGTGTACACATTTCACAAGAAATCCAGCTGTAGCCATGGGGTGCCTAGATTATTATGAGACCTTTAGGTACTATGAGACCTCCAAGTCTTACATTTTGTGACAGTGGAAGGTTTGAATGCAAATTTGGTGCTGGCAGAACCCCAAGCATAAATAAAGGAATCACACATGCACAGAAAAGAAGGTTTAGATTTGGCCCCCATAACTTAACCACATTGTAGCTCATTTATTAAAAATTTAAAAAAAAGAAATCACCTCTGGATTTTCCTCCTTTTTCTTTTTGGTAGCAGGCAGTCCCTGAGCTGACTCTTCAGGAGATTTCTTTGTCTCCAGTTTACTTTCTGTCTGGGTTTGGACTTGAGGTTGAATAATGATAACCTAAAAGACAATGTACATATAACAAAATTCACTATATGAAACTGGATTTTTCTGCTTGAAACCTTTGACTCCTCTTTGAAAGATTACTTGATAGCCTACAAATAAGAAATGTAAGTCACAAGTCAAAAGCATAAAACAACAGGATACCTAGGTTAAGGTCCTAAATCCATACTTAAGTTTCTAATAACTTTTTCTTATTGGTGCATTATAAACCTGCTACAGCCTAAGTCCCTTGATCAGTGCCTCTGAAAATTAGGACACTTTCTATTTAGAGGACTGGTGAAGGAGGCAGAGAAGCCACGCTTTAGCATTTTTGTTAGTGATCTTAAGGTCTTTTGTTTGACTTTATTTTGTGTGCAAGTAGAAGAGATGGGATTACTAAGCTTTCAAACCCAGTTTGATCTCAGTCATACCAGTGTGTTTTCAGGGTAAGCACATGGGGATGAGAAAGAAGGTATTCCTCAGGCAACTGAGATCAGACTTCAGTCCTCAGCCGTTACTCGTTATTAGCAGTGGATGCCCAGTTTTCCATAAATGAAATAAAATTTAATTTAATTTAATTTAAATTTAGGTCTTGTTTAGAACCTGTTGGAATTATGACACAGATCTCATTCACACATTTATGGTAGTATATCTGGCTGCTTATATTTGAATTATCAGATGAAGATTTACATGATGTAGGTCACATTATCCAGAAGCTAATAAATTAAAAGGAATGAATTTCTGCCCACAGAACTACACATATGAATTCATACCTATAATCAAAAGGACTGTGGAAGCTTCAAAAGGACTTCCCAAGGACTATCACCTTCTAGATAAAGATTATTAGATTTGAACACTAGGCCTTTTCCATCTACTTCATTGCTAATTTTCAATCAATGTCATTTAAGTGTTAGATACATTATCTAAACTCAGTCACTCTAGAAGATTCAAAAGCATAAAAAGGGATGGTTTTTTGAGCAGCCATCTTAAGTAAGAGAAAAATAATTTATGTCAAAGAAACGGGGAAGAGACGTCTGCTTTTATTTACCTCAAAAGCCATCCTACATCCTATATATTTTTTTAGTTCTGTATGAGAACTTGTGCTGCCAACAAGACCAAAAGTAGCAGGATCCCAGTGGTAAATTACACTGAATGTCTGCTTGGTACATTAGCAGCCTGTATGGAATCTGACTCTGGTATAAGAGTGGCACAGTTCTTGCATTCCAATGCTGAAAAGCAGTACAAAGACGAAAGAAGTAATTCATAGCTTGAATTTTTCTTTTTACTGATTCATCTCCTGGTCAGTTCTGAAACCCTGAGCTCTCATTTCATTCGGTCTTCCCCTGAAAGAGCAGAAGGGAATCTCTGATTTTTTATGTATTCCCTGGGGTCAGTCAACAAATCAAATATCATTGTATCATTGAAGAGGGAGTCCATAGGAAATGTGAGCCTGTACAGAATTCAGGGATTTCATTAGTGAGGATTCATTAGCCTGTACAGAATTCAGGGATTTCATTAGTGATTCCCTTCATTAGTGAAGGGAATCTCTGATTATTTTATGTACTCCCTGGCGTCAGTCAACAAATCAAGTATCATTGAGTCATTGAAGAGGGGGTCCATAGGAAATGTGAGCCTGTACAGAATTCAGGGATTTTTTTAGTGAGGATTGTCTTAAGGAAAGAGAAGTTCATATTAACAGAAGGTCCTGTTAATACCAGGCTACATAATGATGTGTTTTATCCCCAGTAAAAAACAGGCTTGTACACAGATAAAAGTCCACCAGCTTCTATGTGTCCGTGTAAGAATTCTCCCGTTGCTTTCTGATTATTTCCTTTGAGAAGAACCCCTGCCAGCACTCCCAGGGCAGTATTTGCTCACACCTGGAGCACAGTTGGTGCGTTTGCTGCCTGGGCACTCACCTTGCTGTCGGCGCTGATGAGGAGCGGCTGCACCTTGATGCCGTCGTTGACCACCGAGACAGCGGTGCTGGTGCTGAGGGGAGCAGCATTGCTGGGGGACGTGGAGATGATGGCATAGGCCACCCCAGCACCACTCAGAGGGGACGACAGGGCTGCGGGCTCGGTGGCACTTTGGACCGGGCTGCTGTGCGTCTGTCCATGGCTGACAGTGTTGTTGGCGGTGGGGAGGGCAGGGCTGGGGTTTTTGATGCTCACTATGGTAGCCTTCTGGAAGGTGGGAGGCTGCTTGGAAGGTTGGTCTCTGCACGGGGAGATTGGGAGGCTGTCTGGAATCAGGGTCTTTGGCCTAACCTACAAACAGAGAGCCAGGTGTTATTAGTGAACAAACACTGCACACATGTGTTCTGCCAGTGGAATCTCTAATTGCATTCACCATGGACCAAGAGCATCTAGAAAAACAGAATGGAGCAACTGCAAGTAGCCACCACTTATAGATACATTCCCAGCTCTTCTCAGTTGGGTCATTTAGAAGTTCTTAACTCACTGCAATGCTAAACAATAAGTGAGAAGAAAGTCAAATCCTTATTTTGATCAGCACACATCCATACAAATGCTGGTCAAGTCACATCCAGTTCTCTCTGCTCATACCTGCAGCACAGCTCCTGTGTTTGCTGCCCATGCGTAAGCCAAAGCCTTTGCAAAGAATGGAAAACCCAGATTCAAAATTTTCCTGTTCTGAAGGACACAACATTTTATCTATGAATTAAGGAGAGAGAGCTGAATCTTTAAGGGAGTTCTGGGAAAGCATTTACAGAGACAGTAAAGTATATGCTTTTAGGTGGATTGGTCAATGAACAACCTCATATGTTTAAGACATGCCCTGTCAAATGGAGAGGAGATCTGTCATACAGTCACTTAACTCACAAATAAATAAATAAAATAAATAGAGGGATACAAGAAACCCACAACCACCAAACATCATATTTTGTCGCAGTAATTAAAGAGCTAACTTGCAGCTGTGGGTGGATGCAGGAGGAACTTCCATGAATGGAAGAGGACACTTTGCCCTGCTTTGCAACAGCTGGAGCTCTACCCAGAGCCATGAATGATAGCAGCAATCAATTGTTTTCAGCTGATGTGATGTGTTTCTAGTGGTGTAATTAATGTTACCCAGTCAACACGGCTCTGCCTTAACAACATGTTAAGTACAGTTCCAGGACTGAAAATAAATAATTTAGAATGCTTCACATGGAGTTAGCTTCACTCCCAGCTTATTGGTTAACACAGCTGATAAAACAGTCAGTTCCCTCTGTGCTTATTTAGTCCTGTCACTTCTTGCACCTTCCATACTGTGAAACAAAATGACAAGTTCTAACAGACAAACACGGGAACAGCTGCCTGTGTCACCACGCTGGAGTCTACAGCAGCCCTTCAAACGGTGCCAGCTTCAATCTTCAGCCTAAGTAAGCAATTTTAAAAAAATGCAGGGATTTACTAGTGCACAGAAAACCATCTCTTACGGTTGGCCATCATCCCCTATTGTGTCAAGAAGGAACCATACCCTTCTTGTCCCCACAGCAAATATTAAGGGCAGCAACACATATGTTGCCAGCTCTCTGTCCCAATAATTTGTCCCTTAAATATCAATAGCACCCCTGTGGACACCCACAAGCCTGCTGGGAAAAGGCATCACAACAATGATGCCCTGGAGAGAAGCATCTTGTATATATAATTATCTTTTCTACTTCATGATGTAATAGCTCAGTGAATCCTACACACACTCATAATACACATCCTGCAAGTTAGGGATGAACACATCTTACTTCGCTGTAAAATAAGCTCTTCCTGCACAGATAACTAAACACACTTAATTTTCCAAAATACTAAATTCTTTATAAAGTGCTGCATACTGAACTTATCTGATAGGATGTACCAAACTGGTACATCACAGAGCATCTGCTGGGCACTTTCTGCCACCATGTGATACAGAAAAGGGATAGCTGTTCTCATGGACTAAGACTCTGAAAACTCCCTGCCAAGTTTACCTAGCTGTGGGACACCATATTTATTTGCAATTACAGAACAATAAAAAGGGTTGACTACAGAAAGAAAAGTTTCAGGTACTTCTGAGTTAAAGTTAGAATAATTTAAAGTGAAACCAACATTTGTTTCCAGAACCTGCAAGTATGAATCCAAAACAGAAAGTAAATGTAGAAGCCCCTTGTGGTCCAACACCCATCAATGTTCCCCTCAGAATATAAACAATAAGCATAAACATTTAATAAACAGCTACATTAAATACCTTTGGCAGAGTGTCACCTAAAATCCCGAACTGCTACAGTTGTTTCTGGAGATAAATGGAATCAGCTAGGAATAGAAAAAATAAGAAGGGAAAAGGCAGCATAAATTCCTTTCCCTCATGGCAAAACTGTAGCTTAAATTTGGGAGATGAAAGGAGGACAGTGGCACTAGGAAAAGTCTGGAAGCTGGCAATCACTGAGGAAGAGGTAGAATAAAACTAGGGCAGGACAGGGAATGCACTGCACTCACACAGTACCAAAAAGTAATTTCCTACTGAAAGTAGCACAGGGTGGATGACATCAGTCCCTGTCACAGGAGTTACAGAACAAAAAGGCACCAAAGTTGACCAAAAGAGAAGAAAAGAGAAAGAGATAGCATGTGTGTTACCAAAAGAACATTTCAACTCTTGGCAACTGCTGCAAGTAACAATTCTCCTGTAGGCTCAACCGTTCTTTCCCCAAGTATCTTTCATTTAACTTGTGACAGCTGTCAAAACAGAATGTGATACTAGCAGGGCTCGAAATGCAGAAGAGAGAGCTGCTTCTTGAATAAAAAGATTTCCTAAACCTGTGTTGTTCTTGAGTTTCCTCCATACCCACACTAACAAACATTTCATTTCCTGTGGCAATGTTCAGACTGGTGCTTCTCAGATAGCTGCAGGTGAGCACATTTTTCAAGGAGATATTCTCAAATCTGAGCACTCACTAGGTGGCAGCTCTCTGCTTTTCAGACAGGGAAATAAGAGTGTGCCCAATCCTGTGAGATGTACAGAGTGCTCTTTTGTTCAACAACTTCTAATTTAATATATTTTAAAGAGCTTCAGATCAGGAAAGAATGAGCTCCTGTGACTAACATGACTTGTTGTATATCCCATATTATTAAGCTCCATCCAGATGTCCCTATATGAAGCTCAAAAGTCTGGGACTGGGTTCAGGTTCTGTTTGTTGTTAGAGCCAAAGTTGTTGTTGCTGTTTGTTTGTTTTATTATACATACTAGTAAAGACCTTTTTCTTATTCCCATATCTTTGCCTGAGAGCCCCTTGATTTCACAATTTTGATAATCCAGAGGGAGGGGATTTACATTCTCCATTCCAAGGGAGGCTTTTTCTGCCTTCCCTAGCAGACACCTGTCTTGTAAATCAAGACAATCCCAACAGGTGAGCCACTAACCTGCTGTAGAAAATTAAAATAAGGTAAGAAAGAAAACCTCTTACAAAAGAAATCCTCAAGATCCAACCTATAGAGGTATGGGGAAAAAGGAGAAGGGAGCAAAGTCACACAGTTCCTCCAATCTCTGTGGGCAATCCTATGTAGTCCTAAAGGACAGGATTTAATTAGAACAGTTACATCTGTGAAGATCTGCAGGTGATATGAGAATTGTTAAGGGCATTTCTGGTAAATGCGTTCTCCCTCAGGCCTAGGAAAGAAGGGAAGTTAATGCAGTGTACTTCAATTACAAACCCAAAAGGGATCACTGTGATCCTCCAGTTCACAGGCTGGACATATAATTTCTCCTAGAAACTGAAGACTGATTTTAAAAGAAAATACTAAAGATTTCTTAATTATGAGCTCCAGTAAATTGTTAACATGTTTTTGGTTTTTTTTTTATGCTCGTGACTGGCATTTTACAGGAAGGTTGAATTTTGCTTAACTTCAGCTTCCAGTCCCAGGATCTTGTTCTAGCTTTGTCAGCAACACTGAAGAGCCCTCCCCTTCCCCTGTATCAGATATCAGCTGGATCATGCTCAGCATCCATCAGCCCTTCACACTAGCAGGGCCCATCTGTATGAAAGTAAGTTCTTCAGCTCAACACAATATCACATTGCCTTTGAGAGAAAGGCCATTATTCACACTTTATTTTCACTTCATCCTTGTACTCAGAGCTTGAAAACAAAAACTCAAAATGGATTTGGCACAATTCATATGTCACAGAGGCAAAGTGCTGGGAACAGCAGCCAGAGCTTTCATTCTTGAAAATTTTAGAGGATTACACAGAAAACATTAGCAATGGCTGATAAAATGAGTGCAATATGGGGTAATCATATCCTTCACCAGAATGAGCAGATGCACACTGAGTTCAATAAAGCTGTGTCTATTTATGCCAGCTGAGGACCAACTCCCTCCCTCTACTTTTTTGATCAGTAAAAATTAGACAAAAAAATTTTTCTCCTTGAATTTACAGCAATGACACTCGCTAAAATCCAGGTTGCCCCACTCACTCAAATACTTGAGTTTAGTTCCTTTCCCAATAAGCTCCTATTATCTTCAGCCTGGTCTAGGACCACTGTCAAAATAAACAGTTTATTTCTTCCCACAGGGAAGATTTCTTTCTTTTCTTCCTTCCCCTTGATAGGGCTACATAAAAAAGAAGTTACTCCTCATTGTAGAAAGCCCAGGCAAGATGACCCAGAATAAGTGAATTCCATGTTTACATACAACTTAGCCCTCTCTTTAGCATATCCCTGGAATATTAGTCTGTGAACCTACAGAAGGACATTGTGAAGGGAAATGCAGGGCAAAACCCAAGGAGCAGCTCCAGCCCACATTTTCAGTCCTGCTACTCTGGATGGAGTAGACTAGGGAAGAAACATTAATCTGATCATAACAAAATTGAGCAGAACTTCAGCAAGGCAGAACTGCAACAGGCCCCTCAAAACAAAGCCTGGTCTCTCAGTTTACACACAACACAACCCAGGAGTCACTCAGCAGTATTTTCACATGTGTTCAAACTGCACACACTCAAATCAGGCATCTCCCAGGTGCTGTGTACCTGCCATGATTTGGTATTTCAGTTGTTAGTCATGGACTGCTAAGTTAAGTTAGCTAAAGGTGACATGCAGCTTCTGGGCAGTTTGTAAGAAGGCAAAACAATCTAATTTAGTTTTCTTCTCCTTCATCTCTGCTTGACACTACAGAAATGGATGTTTTGCAGAGAAGGATGTCTGAGTGGGAATCTGCCAGCTCTGCTTTTTGTGGATGTTGGCATAAGGCAGTCAGGTGGGAGCTCTTTATTAAAAATGTTATCAATGTTTTGAATAGTGGGTTGGTTTTACATGGCTTAGATTTTTTGGTGAGGAGGGAAGAAGCCAGGCACAGAAGTGATTTTTCTGTGGGAAGCTGCTAGAGGTTGCAAGCCTGACAAACCAATTGCAGGCTGGCTCAGAAAACAAACATACTGCTAAGCCAATTGATATAGTTAGTGATACCTCTGTGATGACATATTTAAGAAAGAGAAAGCATGTACAATTCCTCTTTTTTCTTCTGAGGTGTAGGGAGGTGGCTGCCAGAGGGGCCATCAGACCAACTTTGTCACAGACCAACCTATTTCCTCTATAGTACACAGCGGCATCCCAAAACTTATTTCTGTCTCTAGGAGTTGTTTTCCTTTCAAGAAATCTACCAGAAGCCCTACTACTAAGGAAGCCAGGAGCACTACCTGGGTTTGGTACACATGTGAAGAGAAGCAGCAACTACCAGTAGAAATGTGACATGAAACTATGAGAACTATGAGATGAAATTTCATGAGAACTATGACATGAAATTTTAAAATGGGACTGTGTTTTTAACATTTGGGAACATGTGGAGACTCTGGCTGGGCTCACACAGTACCCAGTGAAGAATAAACACAAACCAAGATAACAGAGCTTGTCCCAGGGCAGACAAGTGAGCACATTCAGACCCTACTGAATTAATGTTAAAGTATCAAGGTTTAAAAGGACAGGTGTCTGCTGAGGAAGGCAGGAGCCTCCCCTGAAATGGAAAATGTAAAACCCTCTCTCCAAATTGTTATAATTTTGAAATTAAGGGGGCTCTCAGCAAAGATATGGGAGCATGAATAACAGTACTTCATTAAGGAAAAAATGAAAATAAAAATAAAATAAATAATGCAATAATACAAAACAACACTGACAGTCAGAATACGACCTGACACCCTGTTGGTAGCAGTCCAAATGAAATGGCGGCTGCAGCCCTCCTAGAGTGCCTGGGGTGGTTCTGTTGGAGCAGGGATCCTGTAAAAGGGTGGAATTTTCCTCTGAAGATCCAGTGGTGGTGTAGATGGGCCTGGTCTTCCTTAGAATCCAGTGGGAAAGGGCTGCTCCTCTGGGAATCCAGTGGAAAAAGCTGCTGTGGTCCTCCAAATCACAGATTATATCCAGGTAGGAATGCTTGGCTCCTCCCTCTGGGTGGAGCATCTCCCAATGGGATGTTGGGATTTTATCAGCCATGCAGTGGGACTCAATGGCTCATTAACAGAAGATATCTCCCAGGAGGGAGGATGGGTTGTGGAAGAGATAAAGAAAATTGCCCAATTAACAGAAGATAACTGCCCCATCAGATAGGAATAGAATACACACCCATTTCCAACCTAACACATGAAGTCACTGCAGAAGATAAAAACTAAGCAGTGTCTGACAGCAGAACTTGGCAGAGTTGACTGGAACATACATATTTCACCTGAGGCCCTGTGAGTACTTGTTTGTTTTCACCACTAACCTGTGTGATCCCTCCAATGCAGACACTGCTCTGCTCTAAGCAGCAGAGTCATGAGCAAAGCCATCCCAAACTGTGCCTTCAACCAGCACTGGAAAGATAGGCCAGAGAAATAGCATTGTAATCTGATTTGACTGCCATTCAAAATGTCACTGTCTCTCCATTAATTTGAATGAGGATTGCACCAGGCCCAAATTACTGACAATAAAACAGGGGATTTATTTTAGTATTTTCACCTTTTCACTTAAAATCTTCCTGTTGAAGCACAGAAAATCACATTTCACATGTACCTCTAGGTGGCTACAGTGCGACTTAGATTTGTCTGTAAACCAGTTCAAAATAAACTGAATATTTGCTCTGCAGCTGGGTATTGGAACTCAAACTGACAGAATGCTACTCCCTCCTTAGAGCAGATGGAGTCATAAGGAAGAGGAAAAGCTCCAGAGTACCACAGTGTTTAAGCAGAGGACCTCTAGGATTTTCCTCTTAGAGTGCAGTGGAGAGTCTGCAGTTTCAAAGCATCTTACTCAGCTGGAGACCCCAAAGACCAAAGTTAGAAGAGAAAGGCTATCTGGAATTAGCTTCTCAAACATCACAGCTCACTTATTTGATGAAAGCACAAATACCTTCATATTAGGAAAAAAAACAAGCATCAAAAAAATCCCAAATGAAAAAAGAAAAACCAATCCCCCCCCCCACAAAACAAGCCAAAGAAGCTTGTTTTGGTAAATAATGAATGCCTAAAATATTGTTTGTATTGTGCAAAGAACTTGTAAGTAATGCTTGTTTGCTCACCACTTAATTAGCAGTTCTAAGTGATGGGATTTTGCTGCCATTTGTGAATGTGCAAATTTTGAAACTTCATTTCCCAGATGGAAAAGCTTCCAGGGGGTCATATCATAAAGCCATTTAAATGAACAAAACAAATGACAAGTATCTGTACTAATGTGGAAAATGAAGGAAGCTGTATGCATTATTTTATGTAACTCTTGTTAAATGCCTCGTTTTACTTGTGTGGTATGTTTTTTTTTGCATAGGGGTAAATCAAAAGAGGCTGTCAAGATGAGGAGCACAAAAGTGTCAAATATATCAAACCCCTTTAGACATGATGAGGCCTCAAAATTGACGAGTCCTCTCCTTCTGTCCAGCCAGCATGGTAATATTTATGCCTAATATTTGTGCCTTAACAGAAGCCTTTGCTGCTCTGGTTTCATTGTCATAACTAGACTTGTCATAACTTCACTGTCACAACTAGACTTGGCAGAGATGGACATTGAGGAAGGTTCCATCCCTTCCAGATCAATACTGAGCCATAGAAAACATCTGAGTCTGGACACTGCTTTCATTCCCTTTGAAATATTCCAAATTCTTGCTAGAGGAGTGATGAATATGGTTCTGTTGTCCCAGTAATTTGATGTTACATAGGCAAACAAAGTAAAGGTTTTAGCAGGTGCCAAAACCCAGCTGGATTCAACTTGTTGGTATGCTTAGGAGATGGGAATTTGCTTATCCAAAAGTCAGTCCTAGAATGGCAGGACTGTCCCAGTAACTCAGAGCAAGGTGTGGGGTCTTGCTTGTCACCCAGGGGGACAAAAGGAGGTTAGTGGCCAGCCTGGTCAGTGACCAAGTCTGATGAATAAAAGAATAAAAGCTGATGACATGGACTGTGACTGGATTTAATTCTGCATGATTTCCAGCTCCTACTAGAAGATAATATACGCCTCTTTAATTTCCAAAATACTCTTTAATTTCCAAAATATTTTTTTATTAGGTGCTTGTTTTCACAACACTACAAGGAAGATGATGTTTTTACCATAACACCTGTGTGGTATCACATGGCCTTGCTTCCTGGAATTTTTATATTTCCATCCGAAGTTTCCAGTTTTCCTGGACCAGAGTAGTGAGAGCCACAGTGGGAGAAATATATTTATACTTAAGAATCACTAATGTGAAGAGTAAACCATAGAATTGCAGCAAAATGCCTATTGAAAATGACATCCAAAATTTTTGAGAAAGAGGATTGAAATGGGGAATAAAGTGCATAGTTATAGAAACAGTGGTTGGTGTTCAGAAAAGAAGACATTTTAAAACATTTTAAAAAACAGTGAGTGCAACTCTCCTTTCACTCTTGCTCAGAGAATCTTTCCTCAGTCTGGCACCTGGGTTAGCTGGTTACAAAACTTTGTATTGGGATAGACAAGGCAAAAAAGTCAGTGAAACAGAACATGGGGTTAAATCTTGAACAGGAAGGTTAACACTTCCACCAGTTCTTTTAATTACAGAATTGCAGATTTTCACTTCTTTGGTTTGTGATTCAACTTTAAGGCATAAATTTACATTTCACCATATGTATTTTGCTCTCCCACGATGAATCTGCATTACATTTTAGACCTTTTCATTGTGCCATCAGTACACTCCCAGAAGAATTATTTTTTTTCATGGACTGAAGAAAAACATAACTCTGCAAAATCAGTGTGCTGATGCACCCAGGCCTGGGCAGTAGACAGAAGCAGAGAATATGTGCAAAATGACACAACCCCCTCTTTGAAAGTGTATTTTGTACCTGAGGTAGCACTGCTGGTCCTTGTCCTGCCAACCTCTGCAAGGAGCTGACCTGAGGAACCTTAATGGGCACTGCAGTGATAGTTCCCAAAGTCTGTGGGAAGAAAAACATTTGAACACAGCTTAAAACAATTGTAAAGGTTTCCCAGACAGAATCTCTCTGTTCCCTTCCAGCTCTTTTTCCCTTCCCAGCTGCCCTGGCTGGAGGCTCTCTAGGAGACACCAAACTGTTTTCAAAATAGATCTGAAATGCACCACAATGACACATATTGGTACAATGATGCATTTCATGATGGCCAGAGTCACAAAGAGATATTTGCTGTGCCTCAGGAAATAGTAAATACTGAATTATTAAAATGGAAAGCTGCCTATAAATCTACTACAGCACACAACATTCAGCTGACACCCATTTGGGCCAACACAGCATTTATTACTACCCATGCTTATTTTTGTTACTCACCCTTTTTTTAGTTTGTACACCAAATTTATTCAAAGCTTATTTAAGATAGGATGGAATAAGCATATATAACTTATAAATTTATGATTGGGCCATAAATGTAAAGAAGACAGCTAACTTTTCCATTCAATGTCTTTCAACCCTGATTTCACTTCACGAAATCATGGAATGGCTTGGATTGGAAGGGACCTTAAAGATCACCCAATTTCACCCCCAGCATGGGCAGGAGCACTTTCCACCAGACCAGGTTGCTCCAAGCTCCATCCAATATGGCCTTGGACATTTCCAGGGATGGGGAAGCCACAGCTTCTAACCACAAGTTCTAAAAATACTTTGGTTTACGGGCCAATATTCTTAAGGCAAAGTTTTGTAACTTTTATCTAGCATTTTGTTATTACTGTTGGGATGACACAGAAATATAAGCAAGCATATGACTGTCATTATAACAGCAAGAGACACTTAGTCACCAAACTGAAAATCTTACCAGGCTGTTAGAAATAGCTAATATGGAGAAAAATATAGATTCAACTGAATTTCTCTAAATTTAACTCTGCTCTAAACCAAGAGTTTGGATCACAGCCAGCAAGATAAAATATGCTATTATTACTTCAATCTGGTAATGAAATTTGTCAGTAGAAAAGAAACTATAACATAATCAGCTCAAGGAAAGTGAAACTGTGTCATATCCATACTGATATGTTCTCCTCAGACCCCACCCACAGAGTGGCAAAACAGTCTATTTCATTCTGTCTCCAGTGTTTGATAAGAAATAACAAGTGTATTCAGGTAGAATATTCTTAATAAACTTCTCCTACAGCATTTATATTTTTACCTCTGCTACTCCTGTCAGAGACATTTGGGGGTGTGATGCTGCATATTCAGGAAAGATTAACATTTGAAAAATTGCCTATTAAAACAACAAGGAGAGCTGAACAGTTATAAACATACAAGACAATTTTTCTTGAGTACTTGTGGATTATCAGTGCCCTGGATTATCCATGGAAAAATATACTCCATTAAAATTCTGTCTCAAGCCAAGAGAAGAGGGAAAGGGGGCAGAGAGAGCAGTATTTCCATCCCTGGATAATAAAATAACTAAGTTACACCTTTCTTTAGAAATTAGGGATCTGGCAGCAGGGAGAGGAACAGAAGAGGGTATTTCTGCCACAGTTTCCTTATAGGGTGATACAGGGACTAAAAACAAGGGGAAGGATCTGATTAAACAACTTCATTGCCCTGTCTACCCTATCACAGCCTCACACATTGGCAAGAGTACCATGATGAACTACTGCAGTCTGGGGAGAAGGAGAAATTGAGCTGCCACCTGCTGCTGTGAGCATTTATTAGACTTACCACAACTTCCTGCTTAATATTAGCAGGAACTGTAATCAATTCAGCCAGATTCAGAGTTTTTAGGGTAAATACCAAAGTGAACTTTCCAAGTCTTGCTACAGAAAGCTTATCACAAGTAGGATCTATATTTTCCTACTGTCCCAAATTAGATTTCTTTCATCACAAGTGAAGTCCAAGGTCTACTTGGAAGTACCAGGGCCATCACTACTTCTCCTGGGCTGCACAGATACTCTCTAAGAAAGTTAGAAACAAAAAGTTCTGCCTTCTGGAAAGTTGTGCTTTAAAGGCTGCTGCCTCTGACCTTGCAAACACACATTCTGATATTCCTACAGGTACACAAGGATTTGCAAAATTTCCAAACTGGACAACAAAATACATGGTGGTTGACATGGTGGTGTTCAGTCCAAGGCTACACTTGATGATCTTGGATGTCTTTTCCAACCTTAATGATTTTGTGATACCATTAAAATACAAAGAGCTGACACTGAATGAAATTGGGAACTGATTATAAAGATAAGAGTCAAATTACTGACATGTTAAGTAAGATAGAAATATCAATTGTTAAGATGCACAAAAAACTCCATGTCTGAGCAAAAAAAGCTCTTCTCTTGCATTACTTTAAATATCTCCAGGGAATAAAAACCAACCAAGCATCTAGAACAGAACAACTGTCTGTCCTGTGAGGAAGGAGGTCATGTCAGCCCCTGGGTGCCTCACTGGGCCAATTATGGTTCAGGTTTCAAAACAGTGAATGATTGAGACAAAAGAAAGGAGAGAACAAACAAGAAACACCACAAAACTAATCTGTACTGTTTCCTCAGCTTCACTGGAAGGCAAAGTCAGGAGGAATCATCTGTGGGTAGTGGAGAAAGGAACTACTCTCACTTCTGCCACCTGCACTTTCAAAAATTTAATCAGATTTATTTTCCTGAAGGAGCAGTTCTGCAGCAAACACACAAGTACAAAATCAAATAATGGCACTCTTAAATTATGAAATTTTCAGCGACAAAGATGCAGCCTTCTGTTTACAAAGGGTTTTATAGTAAGGACCTGTTATTGAACACTCAAGGAAACAATCTCATTCTAGAAATCTTATGGCCAAGGAAAAAAATCAGAACTTCAATCTCATGTTAATATCAGCACTACAGTATGTTCAGACAGAGAGAGATGTAAGAATCTATTTTATTTTTCACTATTTGCATTGTTTTTTACTATTTCCCAGCTTGGGCAATAAATAGCTCAAGCTATTCAAGAATTCAATGACCTCCATACTTTTCCTGTAACACATTTCATCTCTTATGTTTGCCTAGGTCAGTATTATTGTCTCCCTTTCAGTGATTAAAAAAATCTAGATTTAGAGGTGAAATGATAATGGTCAGGGCTAGACTGTTGTGCAGGTGGAAATTCCAGTGTTTAATCCATGTGACTGATTAACTTCATCTCATCCATGCATGGAGACCTCCATCCAAATGGCCTAATTTTTAAGCAGACCAGGATGTCTCCATGATGACGGGTGAAAGAAGTGAGGTATGAAACAGAGAATCTCAGTTGTGCTCTCTGCAGTGAAGGAAGTGCCAGAATGGGTGGTTGGGCAGTTTGTCTCTGGATACAATTTACACTGCTTTGTTCTTATTCAAGCTGTACAGAAACAAGAAAATAAATGGGAAATAAAAACATAAGTGTCTTTATCTGATGCCCTTGGCCACACAGACAAACTTCCATGGACAAACTGGACAAACTTCCCATGGTTCAGGCTATGACATGTCAAATCCTGCTCACGCTTCCCTTCGAACATCGGCTCAGGGTGGACCCTCAGCTTCAGGAGGTAACTAATCAAGCTACCTCCCCAACAAACAGAAAAACAAACTTTTGTTCCTCCTGTTAGCAGAGCCACCTGTTTTCATGCCCTGGCTGTCCAGGCCATGGTGAGTCTGATGGAGCAAAGATTTGCCACTCACTAATTCCACACTATCATTTTTATCCATGGGGACCTTTTTCTTTTCTCCTTCTTTTCCACTTTATCCAAAGAGCAAGGTTGTGCACATGCTTATAAACTCCTAATTAACAAGCTGAAAAGACATTTTTCTGGAAATGCTTGACCTTTAAGCATTTTGTATGGATTTATTGATACAAGCAGAAACAATAATTTAAAAGACTATTTTAGGAGTGCCGAATAGCAGCACTTTTGTAAAGATAAATGAATTTCTTATTTCTACATTTACAGCTCTAAGCATTTTAATGAAAAGGTCCCTAAAAGTCAAAGATATTTCTGAATCTCTCCTTTGTCTAGGGCTTTTCTGGTGACTCCCTGAAACATCTATAATGTGAAGGGATGGAGAAGTGAAAAGCCAAATTTCACTTTGCCTCAGGTTTGATTGTATGCATTTAAATCAGACATTACTTTATACAGTTGGGTTTTTTTCGAATAAGAACAAATACATCCAGTGTATTTCCTACTGTCTAATTCACTAAACTTTACATCCAGAAGCATTTTGGGAGCTCATGATCTTTTGCTAACTCTCACCTGAACCTCCAGCCCTGGACTGGGACAGAAAGCTCAACCACTCCATCCCTCAGTGCAGAGTTACTGGATAATGAACACATGGGACTGGGACACAAGACATTTCCCAGCTCCTGTCTGCAGCCACCTCCAGAGGCAGACAGGGATCTGGCATGTCAGGGACATGGTTTTATTCAGCAATCCACAGGTGCTCTCAGACAGGAATGCAGCAGGCCCACTGAGGAGGGGACCTGTAATCCCTGTTGGGTAAATGTCATCCAGCAACACTTTCCAAAGGGTCACATTCAAATTGCAAAAAGAGGTGAAGGGATCCAAAGGAAATCATCCTTTTCACTGGCCAGTTTATTCACTAAAATAACACGAATAACTTAAAATAGGAAAACCAGCTGAAGTCCCCAAACAAGAGGAGACAGTTGCATAAAAAGAAAAAAAAAAAAAAAAAACAACAAAAAACAGTTCCTCCCATTCAACCAAAAGAAAATGAAAAATTTAGGAGATATTGCCAAGTGCAGTTATTAAAGATGATCACTTATGACTGCCATTTCTATTAATGCCCTGCATTGTAACTACAGGAGTAACCAACAGGAGTTGGATTCAATGATCCTTGTGGGTCCCTTTCAACTCAGAAGATTCTGTGATCCTATGATTCTCCTGCAATAAATCAACTCCATCCCAGGATAAAGGCTCTCAAAGACAACTGAAGTATAGAAGTGTGAGGAGAGTAGCAAGTGGAAGACATAAAAAATGAAACTAAGAAGTATGG